GGGACGGGGATAGGACTTAAATCTCAATCTCTCGTGCTTGCTCGCTCTCTCTCTCTCTCTCTCTCTCTCTCTCACACACACACACACACACACACACACATCCTTTCAAACGCTACTCTGTATATACTATTGCTTGACTTGGCTACTCACTTTCATTTTACAGTACACCTGCCAACTCACCTAACAAAATAACAAAACAGAGAACACAGGAACAGATGCCTCTTTGTTTTCCGGAAGTGACTTGCCTCTGACCCACCCTTTCCGCTCCGGGTCAGCCTGTGACTCCTGGGAACAAATGCCCCTGCATTCAGGGAGGATGACATTTACACCCTGCATTCTGTTCCTACAGAGGTCTTAGGAAATCACTCAACTGCCTCTACCACCTAGTTAGGTACTAAATACCCCTCAGCACACAGAAAGCTTTCCTCATTCCTTAGATCAAATGCTTTTCTCCATTTATGGAATTACACTATCATCAGATCTTTCTTGATGGTCATATATTTGTATTTACCTTCAGGAGCAAAGGAGGAACTATTTAGTATGGATGCTCCGTCTTTAAAGCACACACAGACAGGACACTATGCCTGACACTGTAGTTCATAATGCGTTTGTGCCAATAGTAAAGGTAAAGCACAAACAGATACCTCCTATTATTTTACAACAACGCATTTTTGTTCAAGGTAAAGAATAAGAACACAATGTATTTGTCTAGATGCAAAATGTAACACCTATGAAGTTACTAATGTCCTGAAATATTAAAATGTGAGACTAATGCTCTTACCACGGCCACCCTCTAAGCTAGAAGCCTGTCCTTGGTTGAGCGCCGCAAAATGTCACCAAGGTAGCTACACACACACACACACACACACACACACCCCATCATTCCTTAGTTACCTGGTCCCGCTTAAAGATCTCTGCATTGCTTATTCATCCCCAAATGAGAACAGAGACCCAGATTTATGCAGCTTTCTGTGTGGACACAGGCTCTCATGGATAGCTCTGGTTGGGCTCAAATGGACAATCCTCCTGCCTCAGCCTCCCAAGTGCTGATAACCAACTTGCATGTACCACCAAGCCAGATTTCCAAGAGGGAATTTAAGTTATTCACTAGGCTTCCAGCATACCCAACAGGTGACTTAGGAGTTGCATCCTTGTCTTTAGAAAGAATGAAACAGCTGCAAGGGGAGCTGAGCTCTAGAAGCCAGAGTTCCCTGCCCTAAGGCCTTTTCCAAAGCACAGGCTGACAGCAGCTTCTAGAAACCAAAACTGGCACCAATGCTAATGCATCCACAGCCCCAAACTCTGGGAAGAGGTTAACAGGATCCATCTGAAGGCAGGAGAAGGAAAGAAGTGAGTCGGGCATAGTTGTCACTGAAATTACCCATGGATGCATTCCAGCAGGAGACAGTAGAAAAATTCTCATTAATACCTTTAAATAATCACTCCTAATGTTTTTAATCTCCCTTTCAAAACCTGAGTGACAGCCAGGTGTCATGGCACAAGCCTATAATCCCAGCACTCAGGGGCTGAGGCAGGAAGACTGCCACAGGGTTGAGGTCACCCTAGGCTACAAAGCAAGTTCAAGGCCAGCCTGGACTACATACATAGAAGACCCTGTCTCAGACAACAAAAACAAAAGCAAAACCTGAGTGAAACAAATATCAGTATAGTAAAATTTAGGGAAATAAAGCTTTTCTAAGACTACCATTTGACTTCTCAGGCACCTTAAGTGCGCTGAGATAAGCAAATTTGAACCCTAATATGTTTGGGATTAGATCTTTCCCTTTTACACATGCTGAAAAGGAAATGTGCTGCCAGCACAGGCTGCTGGTCTTGGTCCCGGCTGTTCTTCTGCCCACTCTGGCTACCACTGTGCCAGTAGTGTGACCCTTCTGTCCCCAGTAAGCCAGCTTTAGAAGCAAAACAGAAACCCACCCACATCTGACAAGGCAGGATGGGAGGACACACCACACCTGCTTAGCAGGAAGCAGGCAGTGGGATTCCCCCACTGGGGATGGACACGGTCACCTAAGTGAGTCCAAGTAGGTGGAGAGAGGGTGGCAGCATTTGGGAAGTGTTTTCTAGGACACCACTGTCCAGGCAGTGATGGCAGCGAGGAGTGCTAAATAAGCACGCAGAGGCAAGTACAGGGCTGTGTGGGCATGAGTGTGGGCACCTGCCCAGCCCTCCTCACACCAGACCCAGAGGCTGTGCCCACCACAGCAGATGTCCTGAGACCTCCTCTGCCTGACAGCCTGACAGCTGCCAACAGTGCAGGTCCTCAGGGGAGAGATTACAGGACAAATGCCATGTGAGTTAGAATCACTCCAAATTATTTTCCAATGTGTTTCCTAACCCAGTGTCTCCCAAATGCTTTGCAGAGGGCGCTAAGGTACACCGATGCCATATCCCTGCTGCATTAGCCAAAGCTCACAATTTGAAAATTCGGTATCTGAAAAGAAACTGCTACCATTAGAGGAGGCGTAGGGCAAGAAATAATGGAGGCTGCTTTCAATAGCGACCCTTAAGTCATCACCTCACTTAATCACCATAGAGTATCGTCATCACAAAAATAGGTGCTTAGAGATAGTAAATTGAAGTCGAAAAGTTATGAAGATGTCCTTCCTCGCATTTGTTCAGTGTGCAACTTAAGGAATTGCTACCATCTCTGCAGAATCTGAACTCTTAACACCAGTTCTGAAAGATGCCACAGGGAGGGTCCAGCAGGGTCAGGGGCCACCCAAAGGCCATACTTCTCAGCAGCCAGCACTGGCTAATCTAGCAGAAGGTTACCATCACTGTTAAGTGAATGTCACATTGCTTGGTAGAGGCAAAGAAAAACCTGACAGGGGCCAAAGGGGGGACCCCTGGGCTCTCTCAATAACACAATGGATAACAGAAAGACAAAGGAAGTTCCTGAGAAGGAACACAGAGGAGGCAGTAGGAAGTAAGGGGACTGAAGACTTCTCCTGTGACTTAGACCAAAGGACAGGAACACATATTTCCAAGATGAGCCACTAGCATTCCTCTGGAGAAGTGAGGGTTTGTCAGGTCAGTCCAGCTGCTGAGAACACACTAAATATAGGTACTAAGAACATGTCTTTAGGGAAGGGGGGCTGGACAGAAGGGGGGCTGGAAGGACAGGGCACCTCAGATGGTCACGTCAAGGTCATCTGCACGTTCTTACTTTCAAAGGTGGGTAGTTGAGCTAATTATTTTCAGAGGAGAAATTTCCCTTTTTATCAGGGAGTATGGAGAAAATGTGCTAATCGGTTAAAGGCCGAATCTCTAAAGTTTATAAAGGACCATTGTTTTAAAACTGGGAAATGAAAGAAAACGTTTCACATTACAGTCATCTGTGGCTTTGAGTGAAAGAATTATAAATAAAATATGATTGAAGAGTGACTTTTAGGTGACAACACAAAAAACAAAAGATCAACATTATGTCACTATTACTAATGCTACTGTAAATATTCTAATAGAAGACAACATGAAAAGACAAATTTGATTTACTATCACAGAAGCCCACATAAAACACATTCATTTAAGACTCTAACTTGATCTGTACATCAGAATCCTTGCCTTCAACCCTTCTGAAGACCCACTTTTTTGCTAGGAAATTGCTGCTGGAAGCTGGATTAGGATTACAAAGCAAGCTTAAATCACTTTACATACTTACGCATCTTACTTTTCCACTTCCCACTTAAATTTACTGAGGTTTTTCTTACAGTGTAAAAACTAAAAGACAATGTTGCCATCACCCTATCGTGAAGATTTTCTTCTTCCCCACACCCAGAGGCAGCCGAAAGAGTCTGCAACAGGGAGGGGCATTTGACCTAGGCCTTGGTGCCATGCATGTGGCCTCAACATTGTCCTCTACATATAGCTGTCATCAAACTTCAGCCATAGCCACTCCCAAGCAGGCACAGCCACCTCAAGGTCATTACAGAGAGGAAGCTGGAAGCTGCACGACACTGCCCCCTCTAGATCTTTCAGACAACTTTTACAAGAGTCCACATAGGGACAAGGGCCATGAACCTTTGACACGTGTGACTGGTGTAGACACGCAAATAAGAGCAGAAGACTGTGGAGGTTTGTATTTTCTTCCTTTGGGAAAGGCATTACTGAGGATTAAGCCCAGCACCTTCACACTGAGCTGCATCCTCAGTTCTCTCTCTTTATTTTTAATTTTAAGACAGGGTCTCACTAAGTCACTAAGCTGCCCAGGTTCAGGCTCAAATTGTGATCCTCCTGCCTCAGCCTCCCAGAGTGCTGGATCTCCACACCTGGCTGGAGTTTGCATTTACTATGATAAGAACAGATAACCTGTCTGCTCTTTAAATTTTTAGAGCTAAAAGAAATAGTTAAAACTACAAAGAGGACTTACAAAGGAAGTAAATGGGGCTCGTTAAAAATATGGATGTAAATATGGAGAAATGTGTTCTTTGTTCAAGGTCAAACTATTAATTAATAGCAGGTGGGAGAACAGAGCCCTGAAGTCCAGGCTCCTCTCCCTGGGCACAGCTGGCCTATTTCAGGGTTTCTAGTCAACCCTAAAAATGAGTTAACCTTTCAAAAGGGGAGCCAAACTGCCTTTACTACAGGACTCATCTGAACAGGCCCCTCAAGAGTGACTGGGGGCGAGGGGGGAGGATCAGAGCTGGTCAGGCCTTTGGGGCACCAGGGCCAGGGACACCAGAGATACCCAAGGCCCAGAGCAGACATGCCCAGTCACAGAGCTGATGAGAGAGGAGCAGGAAGGGGCAAGGACTGGCCTGCCACCCTCACTCCGAGCTGTGTAAATAACAAGTCTCCAACCCCATGAGCTCCGCCTGCAATGCGGGCAGGAGATATGGCTGGAGCAGAAATAAGTTCCTATTTTTCCACGCTGGATTGCAGAACAATTTCCAAAGGTTTTTTTTTCCCCCCCACCCTCCTCAACTGGAAAAAGGAGATCCCTTTTACCTCTGGAGGAAAACACCCTGTCTCTGTGGACTTACCTGGTGGGGCCACCCGGTCCTGATAGGTGGGCCGCAGTTCACTGATGGTCAGCAGCATCACCTGGATGGTTCCGATGAAGATGCCAGCCAGGCAGCCATAAAATATCACATAGAACAGGAGGATCTTAACTACAAGGAGAACACACAGGCATAGGCGTGATGGCGTCACACGTACACGAGTAAAAGGTAACCTTCCCCCAAGGAACAGACTTCTCCCACCGGCCCGCCAACGCTGCTCAGGAGGGGGAACCTCGCTTGCTCTTATCTGGAGGCTGGAGGTGGAGAAAGATTCAGCTACAACCAAGGTTCTGTTAGAAATATTTATTCCCTAAAAAACAAAGACCACAAAAATGAGGATCACCAGAAAAAATCTAAAGCCGTACTTGAGCGCTTATGTAATACATCTTAAATATAATGACACGTGTTTATTTCATTCAATATAATGACACACATCTCCTTGGAGACCTGTTTTCTTTGCTGGCTTATCCCCTGACATTTAAATAGTGCAATCCAAGCTCTGCTGCTTCTCCATTTGCTTAAGTGCTTGAGGGTTTTTATGCCAGGATGCATAAGAGAGCGACAAATACACAGAAACCTGCCCTCCTCTCCACTACCACTCTACCATTAATGTGTATTATTGGTGAGCACATTTTCTTTTTCATGGGGTGGGGGGTATTAAACAAAACAAACAAAAAGGAAATCCTACATAAAACTGGTCCACACACTTCTCATGTCATCTCTCCTGACTGCCTTCAAGATCTGCATTTGCTTTCTCTCATAGTTAACACAGTAACAGAACAGAGGATGAAATAGTTGTAAATAGAGGGGGGAAAAAAGGTCAAAAACTAAACTGAGCTATCAGTTACTGGTTTACCAGGATTATCTCCCAGATTAGCTAGAGTAACAAGCTGTACTAGGCACTGCCTGGCAGTCCTATTGGCCAAACAACCCCATGTGAATGTAAAAGTGGGAACAAGCCAACTGTAAGGTATAGAATCAGACACAAGATTGCACAAAAGAGACTTAGGTTACTTCCAAAAAGATCCATATCTTATGCATTCGGCATGGGGCCTTAGGGAAAAGACACAGAACAAAAAAAGAACCTTACTGAAAAGAAAATTCACTAGTGAGGGGTGGGTGCTGGGCAGGGTGGGCACCAGACTGTGGGAATTCATCACATGGCTCACCCCCAACCCCATGCATTCAAAAGCCCAGCTCTCCAATAGTTCAGGACAGTGGTGCCACAGAGTTGTTAAAAACAAGCAAAACACAGAAAAGCCACCACAAAAATAATTATAAATAATCCCTTTCCTCCTCTATGAAAGAACAAAGAAAAGGGTAGAGGCAAAAGCAAAGATAAGCAACACCGAAAGGTTGCATAATGCAGAGCTATAGAGCTGCCCAGCTTTGGGCTCCCTGCAGCAGGACAAGGGTTAAGTGCTGCATTCTGTAACCAGGCAGCAGTAGGCAAATGGCAAGGCTGTGACGTCAAGAGATCTGGAAAATTTTTCCAGTGAATGCCCTGAAGAGGTGCAAGAATTGGTATAACACAGTCAGCAAGGGAGCTCTGGCACCCCAATTCACAGCCATATACTTCCTCCCCAGTCTCCTCTTGGTGCTCTTAGCTTCAATCACATTTGTTATTTCTAATAACACCAACATTTCTATACGCATTCCTTGGACTCCAAATACCTACTTCAAACAACATAGGAAGTGACATAATTGATGATACCATCCAAAATACAAATACAGCAATGGGAAAATAAGCCATTTTGCAAGCACACGGATTAAACTCAAGAATGCAAAGCCTTTCCATTCTGCTCACAGGACACCCTAAGAGAAGGAAGAAATTTTCCTCTCCAAGATGTTACTTAGCAAAATCTCCCAGTTACTCCGTGAGGTCACCTGGTTGCGGGTGTGGTGGGCCTACGAGTGGGCTCTTCCAGGAATAGGCCACCAGGGACTATTCCAAAAAAAGAAAACAGGCTGGAGGATTAGTTGTAGAGGGTGCCTGGGTGGCACTATGGAGTTGTAGATAAGCTTCAGGGGCAATTTCCCCTTTGGAGCAATTTTTCTTCCCTCCATAAAGAACAAGTAATATAGAGGTTTTCAGTTAGGAAAAAAACTACCCTTCAAAAGGTCATAGGCAGAAAAAAAGCATCCGAGTCCAGCTGTAAATGCAAAACTCCGCTAATGCCTGTATTAACTTAATGAAAAGGTGAAAAGCACAAAGTGATTTGTATGTTGTGATTTCTCCACCAGGTGACAGGCCTGAGTCTCCTGCATCCATCTTGATTTAGGAAAAAAACCTACCTACAAGCAAAACTGAGCCAAGGGCATTTTGCCCTCATCCCAAGGGCATCTGTGTTGGGCCCTTGGGACATTTTATCTCCACGAGACAGCCAGCGCGGCCACTTCCTCTGCCCAAGAGAGGCTCTCTCATGCCTCACATTGTCAGAAAGGAGCAGACATGTTAGCACAAAATGAAAACCTGCATTTTTAGTCCAGCACCTGCACCCTGGAAAAGGAAGGAAAGAAGAGACATCTGCACTCACAAATCAGTGTGTTGGTACCCTGCCTGGATGTGACATCAAGCCAGACATTAACTCTCCTAGCCCTGAAGGTGTTGCCTCATTAAATCGCGGCTTGAAGAACAAGCTGTCCATGCTGCCTTATTCTCTAAAGCAAATGCTATCTTTAGAGGAAGCATGGAATTGGAATGAGGAAAGAAATATACGGATGATGGGGAAAAACCCTAGAGGGCAAATTTCACAACATGCCTGGAGTTCATGCTGCCGCTAGCCCCCTAAACCTAGAGCAGGTCAGACCACCAGAGACAGAAGCCCCAGCTGACTCAGGCAGGAGGCCCTGTTCCGCAGTGCACCCCTAGGCCTTGCTCAAGTTGCAAGGAGTTGCTAGGAGATGGCCCTGGCCAGGAGCTTCTCACCCTGCACACCTCACAGGACTTCAGGGTTTCTCTTTCCTATCAAGGAAGCACAGGGAGCCCTTGTGCCTGAAACACTGGGATCATAATCTCCCTGAGCACTAGTCTCCTCAAAATAAAATGAAAGATGAAATAAAAGGCCATAACCCTAACAAACCCTATTTCCCAGGGCTCAGGGACACCTGTGTTCTCAGTAACACCAGAGAGGCTTCACCTTGACTAACCTTGAAGTATGATGCATTATTAACCCTCTACTTTTCAGTCTTGAGAGACTCACTACAGGGAGCATTTTTTTTCTTTACAAAAATCATATATTCCAGCTTCTTCCATTTCAAAATGTCAGCCAAGCACTATTTCCCTGACTCATTCTGATTCGTACAGATCCTCACAAACAGGAACACCGCAGCGGCCCCTTTTCAGGGTTCCCTCATCGACTGCAGAGGTGGTGGTGATGAAGATGATGATATTGGAGGGGGAGGGGGCAGCGATGCAGCACGGGGGACTTCCCTCCCTCCCTTCTGCAGTCACGACTCATGGATTTGCCTACAACTCTGCCCTTCAAAATGACCTTTTAAAGAAAGCCATCCTTGGGGTGTTGGGAGGCAAAAAAAACCAGTAGCGTCTCATTTTCACTGCGGTTGGGAAGTCTATCCAACGAAGCAACAGGCTGCACAAAATCTGAGGCTGGTTGTTTCTGCATTTGTGCAGTGTACGGTATTTATTACGCTAACCCTTGGCCGTCATCAAACCAAGCTACTGGGCTACACCTGTCCATGGAGACCTTGAAAGCAATCAAACTTGGCTTTGTTTCTGGCCAACGCTTAAACTCAGGAGTATGTCTGGGGAGCTCGGGCACTGGGCTGTGAAGACTCCAACCATGGCCCTGGAACGCCGCAGTGTGCAAGGATCCCTCCTCCCTCTCCCTGTCCTTGCTCCCTCCTAAGTATCTACGTGTGTCGACAAGAAAGATGCTTCGCACACAACCTCGCCTGCATCTCACCCGACTACCTCCTGAGCTTTCCCTCGCGGATCCAAACCTCACGCTGCAAAGGGCCCGGGATGTGGCCAAAGAGACAGACCTAGTCTCGCGGAGCCTTAGCTTTCCTGGGAGGGAAGGGCTCCGACGCCCGGAATGAGAGAAGACCTCGCCCGCGCCCGCGCCCCGACCCGGGGACTTACACCAGCTGCCGCCGGTCCGGCCCAGGAACTCCTTCTTTTCCGAGTTCCAGATGAACTTCTTCCAGCTGCCCTCCTCCTTGGCTTTCCCGCGGGCCATGGTGGTGGTCTGCGGCCACAAGGGCAGACACGCAGCTCGGGCGTCCCCGGCGGGCTCTCCGCAGGCTCACGCCGCGCTGCGGTGCCCGATGCCCGAGTGCGCGACGCGCGCGCCGGCCGGGGCGGGACCGGGGCGGGACCGGGCCGTGCCGACTGCGACTGCGGGTAGCGCCGCGCACGCTCTCGCCTCAGGGTCTCGCGGACCCGCCGCTGCTGCTGCCGCCGGGTACGCGCGCGGGACCCCCGCCTTCCGCAGCCTCAGAGGGGGTGGGCTAGGGGCAAGCGACAGAGGGACGGTCGGAAAGGCGGACGGCAGGCCCAGAACGCGCACGTACCGACAGAGAGCTTACAAGGTGGCTGAGGACGCGCGCCCCACCTCTACATATACCGCGCCTCTGCCGCGGGGCCCGCCCACCGGCTGCACACTGACCAATAGCCAGAGGGGGCGGGGCCTGGGCCCCAGGGGGCGGGATATGGGGCCAGCACAAAGGCGCCCAGAGCCGGCGGGAGGGCGGCGGGAGTGCGCGGGTGGCAACTGGGGCCGCGGGAGGGGCCGGGGAGGGGCCGAGCCGGGGCGAGGCGAGGAGGGGGGCATCTCCCTTCCAGTCTGCCCTCACACCTCCCTTTGGCTCTGGCCGCAGGCCCACCCATCAGCCCGGCTGGGGCAAGGTCACCCCGGGACCGACCGCTCCCGCACCTGCCGGCCCCACCGCAGTTCCGGCCCACCCTCTGGGTCCAGGCCCGCCCGGCCGGCTGCCCAGGTTGCGCACTGTTCCTGTGGGCGGCCTGAGCCACCCCGAGGAGGACCGCTGCCAGACCTACCCAGGGCAGGAGCAGAGAGCCTAGGCTCCCAAGGGCGCTGCCAGAACCGTCCTAGTGGAACCGGTTGTGCTCAGGCCCGTGTAGACCTAGAACAGTGTCTCCCCACGGCCAGGCACTCCCCGCTGGGTTGGTGGTGGCCAGTGTGCTCCAAGGCTGACTTTTCCTCCCCTTAAGGCCGACCACCGAGCAAGCTCCACTAGGGCCACAGAGCACGTGGGAGAACTGACCTCCTAGGGCCAAGTATGGCTCAGCCGACCTGTAACACAAAGCCTTTCCAGCCCCTCCACTGAGTCCAGAGCAGCCTCACTGGTGCATACAGGCAGTGACATGGCAGAAAACCTGGGGACGATGGAGTCGCTGTAAAGAAGCTCTGTCGTGGTGATCAGAGAGCCCCCATGGAAGATGGGCCTTGGACAGAAGGTTGCTTCAACACGGAGATGCTGCTTAGGCCACCATCTGTCCCCAAGGTCAACCCTGAAAGCCTAAGACAAGCCTGACCTGGGCTCCTGAGCGAGCTCTCTGGAGACTCACACGTGCAGGACCTGTGCCGGCCTGATGCTTCCAGAGTCAGGGAAGAGGCAGCCACGTGCTCAGTAAACCCTAGCGGCTGCTGCCCGCTGAGTCAAGGTGTGAGCCCAGTGTTGAGACAGGAAGCCGCCCCTGCTTGCTCCTGCAGTATGTAGGGTGGAAAAGCCCTGAGTTGGTGGGAAAAGGCCACACCTGCAGCTAAGGATGCCTGGGCCTGAGCCCATCCAGGCTGGAGTCACCTCTGTAGTGCATGTTTATTGGGTGTCCACAAATGTAAGAGGCTAGAAATGCTGAGGGCACGATCAGTCCCATGGGGGGAGGGAGACAGAGAAGGGGTGCTGTGGTTGAAGGAGATGGGGTTCTCTTCCTGAGCCTTCCTTTGACCTCTCTGTCTTTCCCCACCCCAGAAGAAGCATGTAAAAGAACATTTTAATTAGAACCCTCTTTTTTTTTTTTCTGAAAGAAGTGCCCTACCTTAGCTCTCCAGGGCAATGGCACATGCCAAGTAAACGGATGCTATGGCTGCCAAAGATAAGTATTCTCTCTTGTCCTTGACCTACTGCCTTCTTCTGACAGATAGGTCCGCCTCAAACTGCGGCCTTCTCGCTTTGCTCTTTGTCCCTCACTGCCGGTGAACTGTCCCCCACTTTTCAGTGAAGCCCATGAGAATCTCACTTGCTGCATCTCATTCCAAGCCAGCCTCCACTGGGGTTCCGAGAGGATCCCATGTCTGCACCCCAACCTGCTATTGCTGCTGGAGAATATACTTTCTATCCCAGGGATCACCACACCCTCCACATGCCCAGCCTGCCCCCACCAGCCAAGGCCCTTCCCACATGAAGACCACCAGGACAGACTCATTCATGTTCCTAGCTTCAATACTTGCCCACGGCGTGACCTTGAACAAGTCACTTGTCTCCTGCGCTGTCCCCTTAGTTGTAAATTGAAGTGAAATATTGTCGCAAAGTTTACGTGGGGGGTATGGGAAAGTATTCAGCACAGTGCCTGGTGCTAAGCATGTGCTGGTAAGTAGTGGCTTAATTATAATTCCACTACTGTATTTCCTCTTGACCTTGTCTCACCTTGGGGCTGTGGCTCAGACTTTACCACCTTTTCACTGCCACTTAGCACCTGCCAGGATTGCATTCCCATCAGGCCCTAGAAGGTCACCCTGACAAATGCCCCACCTTCTAGGCCACCTTTCCCCTTGCTTCCCAACCTGCTTCCTGTTCTGTGACCTCCTCTAACTCAAGTAATGAACAACTCAAGTACATAATGTCCCTTCAGGTTGGACTGGGTGGAGCCGTGTCCCAAGCCCCTCCAGTTCAGAGTGCTACAGCTGCAGGGTGAAAGCTAAACCTGTGTAGTTGTTGGCTGGGCAGAGGGCAGTGCAGGCCTTTGGGAACCAGGAGAGCTGTCCTTTCCGAGCGTGAGGAAGGAACACAGGGCTTCTCTGCAGGAGGAAGTAGGAGAAAAGTCTTAGCTGGGGGTGAAGACTTGGGGGAGGGGCTGATTTTTCATCACATTCTCGGCTTGGGAAGAGGGATGGTTCTGGAGTCCTGTTTCTGGCGCTGCCCTAGGCTAAGGCTGTGTGTGCTAAGGCTGTGTGTGGGTGGATAGAGAAGCAGCAGCAGAGAACCAGGACAGGAGGCAGACAGTGAGGGGCCGGGCCCTCTGCAGAGGGAGAATGGCATATTCCAAGCAGGAAGCAACCAGATACTGGGGTGAGGCTGAATCCTGGAGGCAGAGATGGGAGAGTGCAGCAAGTGGCAGGAGGATGGGACAGCCCTGATTGTAGCAATGTGGCCAGGCAGAAGATAAGGCTGGATGGAGCAACTACCTGAAGTAAAATCCTGGCCCTGGAGATCAGAGACTACCAGGGAGAGGTCTGCAAAAGAGGGTGTGACTTTGCCGGCACAGGGACAGAAGTGAAGCAGAAAAGGAGAACCCCTCCAGCCCTTGGCTGTCTGTGCCTTCAGCCTCTGAACCCCACTGCAAACACAATGCAGTCCTCTCTGCAGAGAGAGCTGAGGAAGGTCAGCCTGCCAATCCCAAGTCCACACGCATGCTCACATAAGGCAGGGCCCTTCTCGGCCAGCCTCAGGGTATTTTAAGTACAGAGTGGCAGGGATGAGGGGACGTGTTGCACGGTGACTCATCCTGGTAGCAGTGACAATGGTGCAGTGGCAGGCTGGGTTTGTGTTTGCAGTACAAAGCAAGCAGAAGGCACAGCTCTGGAGGAGAACTTGCAGAGGGCTACGAGGGCTGCAGATGGACACCCGAGAGATCTGGCTGGGGGCTGGGCCCAGGTCCCTCATGCAGGGCCCTCATGCTTTGCCAAGCCACTCTGTGCTTCTTATTGGAACCTCCTCCCCCCCGCCCCACGGGCTTAATAGAAAAACAAATCATTCTCCAAAATGGTTCTGGCTTCTTAGAGAAATCAGAGAACCTGTGTTGGGACAAACAGAAATAGTCCTTTGCCACTTTCATTCGAGGTCAGTCTGGCACTTCCCTGTGTCACCAAGTCTGGAATTGAATCCTAGCACTGCATGAAGACCCAGTATGAAAAGGGGCCTTTTGACCAAGGCCCGCTGAAAAGTTGGGCCCCTCCTCACGTCCATGGGAGCCATTACCTGCTTGTCACCTTGGCTGCCAGGTCACGCCTGGCAGACTTCCAGAGGCTGCTTTCTGCCCCACTCTTGGCCTCCGTGCTCTAGTTAGATGAGCTGGGATTCCTCCCCTCCCCTCATGGCCTTTGTCAGGTTAGGTGTGTGGTCGCAGAAAGAAAAGGCCACACAGCAAACGCGTTCTGCTGTGCTTGTCTGAGCAGAGTCACAGAAGGCATGATCTCTGCGAGAAATCACAGTTCCTTTGCGTGCTTGGGAGGTGGCAGGATGAAGTCCAGCAGGGAGGCGATGATAAATGATTGCTGGAGCTGTCAGAGCCAGGCTGCCTGCTCCTTAATACTTGTGGGTGTGGGTGAATTGGTTGAGCCCCCTGCCCCCCTTGTTTCCCCCCCACCGCCTTTGGAAAACCGTCTGACACCAAGAAGCAGTCCATCTTTCACACTTTAAAAAATAAGGTACAGTACCTAAGCCAGGCATGGTGATGCCTGCCTATAATCCCAGGTAGTGGGGAGGCTGAGGTAGGAGGATTAAAAATGGAGGCCAACCACTCCAGACAATTTAACCAGATCTTGTGTCCAAATAAATGAATAATAGAGTTCCTGGGCTGGAGGTGAGGGTAGCTCAGAGATAGAGCACTTTTTTTTTTTCTGTTAGCATGTGCAAGGCCCTGAGTTTAACCTCAGCACTGGTAGGAGATGAGAAGAAGGGGAAGTTATGCACCATAGTGCAGCTGTAGTCCCAGCTATGGGCAGAGGCTAAGGCAGAATGGTCGCTTGACCACAGGAGCACAAGCTCTAGCTGAGCAACATAGCAAGATGTCATCTCAAAAATAAAAGTTCCTTCCATCTGCTTAAAACAGGCAGTGGACACCCTGCCCTTGGAGAGCCTTAATCACAGTCAGTGAGGGGTTGTACCATGTGGGGTGCGTTCTCCTCCACCCCAGGAACAGATGCAGATAAGAAGGCCACACTGTATTTTATGATCCAATTTGTTGGAAGACTTCAAGTCTTCTAGAGGGAAAAGAGAATGTGTGTTTTATAGTCTACACAATCTTCAACCTTTTTGTGTAGTTTTAGTGAAAGGCCCAGGAGGCAATGATAGTCATCATGGGTAAAGTCCTTGTGTTTAGAGTTGCAGATAATGTCACAGGGCTTCCAGTCCAAACCCCCTGTCCCAGGAGACAAGGTAGCCAGTTAAGGAATTGAATACTTCCCAGGCCCTACCTACTCCCTACCTGAAGCAAAACATCTCATTGTTGGGAAACTGAGCTAAACCCTATCTCCGTAGAAGCTTCCAACCCTCCTAGTTCTCACTTTGCCTATTCTCTCTCTCTCTCTCTCTCTCTCTCTCTCTCTCTCTCTCTCTCTCTCTCTCTCTCTCTCTCTCTCTCT